GGTCAGCAGACTGTGGGTGAATCCGGCACTGCCAGAGTTGAGCTAATAGTTGATCACACTATTAGGGAACTCGACTCGCTCCTAGGAAGGCGRTTGGACCTACAGGCRACAGACTGTGGGTGAATCCGATACTGCCAGAGTCGGGCATATAGTTGGCACAGTATTTGTTATCCCTATTAAGAGATGAATCCAGCCACCCTCAGTCCCTCTAACTTTTGAGGATCAGCTGGAACGCAAGGGGATTCATCTCTTAGCAAATCTGCCCTCTCCTTCCCCCATCACACTGCAACAGCCTCCTGGACAGGGACCTGCAACAGCCTCAAGGGAAGCTCCTGAACACCAGCACTTCTGCTGCTCCTCAGCCAGGAGACACAACTACTGAGAGACCTACCCAGCTGCCTCTCTTTTCTCCCTAACAAACTCAGGCAGCACCCCCTGCCTGGCCAATCACTCAGCATTAGGCCCACCCTAACCTCAGATTCTACCTGAACAGCTGAAGGGATTGAAAGGGTTTCACCCTTCCCAGCGCTAATGWGTCTCTTCTCTTACAAGCTCTTCGCTTTTAAGCACCTTGATTTTTTCATTTCTGCTGGCCCAGGTAAGACTGCTCTGCTAGAGCAGTATTGCTCTATATTCAGGGATACTGTGTCCGTTACTCTTTTGGTACTGCAAAAGACCTAGCCCTGCTTGCTTCTCCAAATGAAAGGTGCCTTGGGCTCTTCACTGAAGAGTTGCAGGTGGAACAGTTGCTCAGAGACTCACCTTTACAGCTTTGCTGAAGTGGGCAGCTCCCATAACGCTGGGTATTGGCAGCCTGCACTATGCTTCAAGTATTCAGAAAGCTGTTGGATTTTTTTCCAGCATCCCAAAACTTGTTTCCATGGTATCAATGCCTCTTAAAAGGAACCTGCTCTCACCTGCTGGGGATGCACACGCTGCTGTTGCATGGAGTCCATGGGACTCCCAGGGCAGCCCCAGCCACTTGCCTCCCCAGCAGCTGCAGCTCCTTCCCCTCAATGCATATATACAGCAGCACCTCTAAGCTCTCCAGGGAAAGCTGAGTGAAAATAATATAAAAYCTGTATGTCCTGAATCACAGCAGCTTACAAAAAGATGCATTTGGGACATCTTSCAAGAAAAAAAAACCTAGCAAAACTGACCATTGCCACCCAGCTACTGTTAGGAGAAGCTTCAGGCAAGAATGCACCCAAGGACATAATTTTTGATTCTGTTGCTAGCACATCATGAGAGTATGGACAAAACGGCAAACACCAGTTGAAGAAGGTAAGGACCAGAGTATCTTCAAGGAACCTGCTGGAACTGGGCAGTGGGGCCAAAACAGGGCTCTCTGAGCCAAAATYAGACCACACATGGAGGTGAATAGTATAGAGTTCATTGGAAGAACCCCAAAGGCCAAGCATCAGGGCTCTGGAAAGACCCCTGGGCCACCCARGGGACAAAGGGCGTGTGAAGGTGGGGTGTGTGGTAGTTAGTTCTAGGAAACAGAAGGAATATGTGTGATCATTGCGGGAAATTCAATACATATCTGTAGGTAACAGATGAATATAAGCTTTGGTTAATACARCTTAATGGCGTGTGCATTACGAGGGACTAACCCCCGTGCACTTAGCGCCGGAATAAAAAGAATGCCTCTTGTTAATGCCGCGCTGCGAAACGTCGCCTGCTGCCGGGCACGCCAGGAGCTGTAGTCTCCCGGTGCGGGGCCCCCGGGCCGCCATGTTGCCTTGCGCAGCAGGCCGGGCACGGTAGTTTTCTGGCACAGGGCTTCCGGGCGGCCATTTAGTGGTTCGCGGGGCATGCCGGGAGCTGTAGTCTCGCTCTGGGGTCGCGCGGCGCCTCTGGAGGGGGCAGCCGGGGTGGAAGGCGCTGCCCGGTCCCTGAGCGGTTGAGGTTGGAAGGGGAGAGGGCGAGAGTCCCAAAGGCGGCTCTATTTGTAGCTGCAAATTGTCCCGTGAAGTCCTGTGTGGAGGCTTAACAGTTCCCACCACACGTGCACCGTCTGCTCGTAGCTGGCAGGGCRCCTGACGATTGACTGGGTTGCCCGACCTCCAGTGCACGTTGGACCTCCCGCCGTCTTGTCTCACAGGGAAGAGGCTCCTGTGGCACTCCGCTGGGTGAAGAGAGAAATGTGTGACAGGAGGTGTAGGAGGTTGGCAGAACCAGGAGCAGCTGCCCCCATAGCTTGGGGAGCGGAGGGAGTTGTGGCATTTGGTGCTACTGCACAAGTGCAGTCAGGGTTAAGCAAGCTAGCCTGCCATGAGGAAAAATTAGCTAATCCGACTGATCCCACTATACAGCTGCTCCATCCTCAATTACAAGCTATGTCAAAACTGGCTCTTCCGAACCCTATGGCACTGCAGCACTTGATGCTGTTGCACCAAARTGGACGTTGTGGCTACCTCAACCTCTCCAGTACAAACTGCTGGATTTATATCCCTGTTACACAGGACCTCAACGCCCAAATAGAGCAGGCATGAGTAGGTGCCAAAAGACACCTGTGAACACCAGGAATCAGTGAACACTAGTTGGCTGTTGAAGGTGTTTAGCTGGTTTGACCTTTGGATGTTGCAAAGCGCTGAAAAGAAATCAAGGCGCCACGGAGCTCAGTACCAGGAGGCTCCCTGTGCCCTGTGGCACCTGGAGATCTTCCTTGAGGCAGCATTGGTCTGYCCGTCCATCCATCCATCCATCCGGGAAGGGGCAGCTGCTGCCCTGGATGGGACAGGTGTCYGAGTAGGCATCAGCCTCCCCCACTGCTTTTTCCTTCAGGGACAGGATTCAGCTCTGGTAGCCAAAAGTCAGCGAGCACGAGATCCTTAACAACCAACTAAGCAAGAAACCTCAAGTGAAAGACCTCAAGCCCTCAGCTTTCAATGAGAAACATGAAAGCACCCATAAGCACTACAACAGTACGGACAATCAAGGAATTATGCCTGCAGCTTCCAAAGCTTCCYCTTTGCTTAGAAGGGCAACACAGCAGGCAGACAACCTGTTAAAGCTGCTGCTTTTCGGCTTGAGCCGCTATTCAAAGGCCAAGCACTGCTGATGTGATGGCTGTGGCTGTGCAGGAAGGGCTGGCAAGGCTCCCCTGCCACATGCGCCATGGCCACACAGGACATGGCAGTGTCATTGTAGGCCAGCCGGGAGGCTCTGGGGAGGCCTCAGGCCCAGTGCAGCCTGAAGTTTTCCCTTCTTATTTTTCTGCTCCTTTGCACCACCCTAATCAGAGAGGCCTCCAGGCAGTAACTGCCACAAGCGTCACCAGCCCCCATGCGCCTTTTCCCCCTTGTTTTTCTTGGAGCCAGGAACCTCCAGAGATCATGGGGTCTGCTCGTGCCCCCAAGAAGCCAGTACAAGGGCTTTCACACTCACCTTCCATTTGTTTTGCATCTAAACACATACCTGAAGCAGAACTCCATTTGGCTTCCTGTCCGTAACTTTTCTAGCTCTATTAGAGTGGTAATTTATTTAGCAATTGTTTACCAAAAACATCCCCCTCAAAAACAAAAAGCAATCCTGCTGGCATATGCTCTCAAATATTTTTTTTCTCTTCCTCTAATTTGTCACTTATTTTCTATGTACTCTATCCTAAGTATTCTAACTTGAAGGACCCATATGAGAGTTAYGTTTCATGGTAAGAGTCGATTCCCACACTTAGAATGATGCATGCAGAGCAAGCACAGAGAAAGCACAGGATACAAGAATGATACAACATGAAGACATTTCAAGGCCATTCTTAAGATTTCAATATTTTAATAAGAATAATTCATACAAGTAACTTGCTTCTATACATTCACGGAGTACAAAAGCTTCCCTGTCTATAGGTACTAATGCTCAGACTTAAATATATCTACAAACTCTTTACACTGGTCGTTGGGAATACTGAGCTTCAACAGTAACATCGTGCTTGAATAAATATTTCTAATATAACCTCTTGGAAATGTTCTCTTAAAAAAATCCCTTTTTGTATATTAAGTTATAATTTTATGGTAACATCAGATATCCCTTTATGATTAAAAAATAGCTCTGTGCCACAGTTTGAGTATCTTTATTGCTTTGCCAACCCTTAAGCCTTAGAATGGGCCATAACAAGGCTTGATTGTGCTTACCTTTACAAGCAATCTTTCAGTAAGCTCTTCTCAAAGCTTCAGATGAGAATGTGCTGTGGAAATACCACTTTCATATTCAAATAAGGAGAGACCAAAAAGCAAAACAGAAAAGTCAATCAGAAAAACTCCAGATTTTAACAAGGAGGCATTAGGAAACCAGCCCCGAGTCTGAAAAGTTAACCATTCCAGCAAGCTGCTCTTAACAGCTGCTTCCAAAAGCAAGAGTTTGCCCGGTCAAATGTTCCTCTCAGTAAAAACTATTTGAGAGACAGCTCTCCTGATTTTTTTTTTCCATCAGAAAAATAAAACACAACACCCCCTTGAGTACTCCAGCTAGGTGAACCTTAGGTCAACCACAACTTTGCTGACACTTGAGTTGAACTCACACAAGACAAACAGCTGGCCTTCAGGAGATGCACAAAGTGCTTAGCATGGGCAGAAAGTGCCTCAGAGTTTTAGTCTGTACAATAGCTTTCCCAGCCACTGGACATGACTGGGGAGAGCAAAGGTTTAATTCTCCCTCAAGAAGGGCAGGTATATGTAAAAGGATAACCTTGTGTCAATGAGAAATGCCTTAATAGAAGCAGGACTCTCCTAAGGACTGATGTTTGGGGAATCCAAAGCCAGTGGATGATGGTGAGGGCTGTGTGAAGCTGAGGATACTAATCAGGAAAACCCTTTGAACTATGTTTATTCATAACCTGTGCTCTTGACACCTGCCTTGTTTGAGACAGTTAAAAAGACACTAGCCTAAAACTGCCACTCTGCTCCACCACAGCTTTACTGACAAAGTATTCAAAATTTGGGAACTAGGCGCCTAGTCCTAATTAGGTCTAGGCGCCTAGTCCTAATTGAGAAGCACACTTCTCAATTATTCACATATTTTTACTTTTTTACTCGTGAGCACTATGATCTCCTACTAGCAATAAACCACCCCTGGAGACTCTTATACTAGCAGAGCAATCTGAGGCAACTCAACAGTGAAACAGGAATTAGCTTTTCCCCACCAGAGTATTACTGATCTAAAAACAAGCCTGCAGTTCTGAACAGTGATTTTAAGTGATGGAGAAGAACACAGTGCTGCTGATGTACTTGGACCAATAGAAAGCTCTTTATATATGTTTTAACAAGAAAAGCTGTCTTTCTACTTTTGTTACTCTAGCTTTATAAGGAAAGCTGAAATTCACTTTTGCAAGACAGGTTTTGGCCTCTAATGCCCAAGTTTTATGATTAAAGTGTCAAACCTTAATCTGACTGTCTGATTAAGTGTCAAATTGCACCAAGGTTTACTGAAATGGCACAATACCATCAGCTGTACAGACACAGCACTTCGCTTTCACTTGCCTCAATTTTGCTACTAAATCATCAYGGCATTTTAAGTCTCTCAAAAGCTCGCTCCCACTCCTATTTCCAAAGAGGGAGCTGTCTCACTGCTTGGATCTTTGGCAAAAGCAGGGATAAACCAACACTTCCTGAAATGTAACTTAGCAGATTTTTTTTCTTATGTACAAATTGCTACTAGGGAAATTGCAAGTGGTCTGATTAAACTACCAGGCCAAGAGCTCAACATCATCTCTCTTGACTGTACGTATGTTCAGTCAAATCAACTGCAAATCAAACTTATACCCTCTTTATAACTTGCCTTAATGTAGGTGTTTCCTTTTCCTGCAGACCAGCTAGTGCAGGCCAGATGATCTCAACTATGCCAACTTCCAGTCTCCTCCTTTCCCTAGGAAATAAACTTACTGGGATTTTTGTGTCCTCCACCATCATTATGTTATAGGGATCTAAACTTATTTCAGGCGATAAAACCAATTTRTATTTGGTGTTATTCTACCCTACCTTCAGGAGATGGCACTTTACACACTGAATTTTGGGAGGGAATTCAGGAAAATACTGTGGGTATCATTTACATCTAGCCTTGTTTYCCTTTTATAGCTTCTCCTAGTTCCCTCAGTAGGTTACTGGCAAAGTCAAAGGACTATACAAAGGGCGCAGCTTAAATTGGATTTGTAAATATCAAATTATTCCATATTCACCAAAGCATGAAGCTGTGGCTGAATAGAGTCTGTTTGTGTATGCAGCACTGTCAGCTCACTTAAAGTGGTAGCTATAAGGGCTTCTTGGGGTCCCGRAGTCCCATCTGACTTACAGTCTGTCCCTGTGGCAGAACCACTATCATGCAGTGCAGTCACACTCCCTGGGACAGCAGTCAAGTTTTGATAGTGGCCATTTTCAGAGAAAGACAGCAGCTTCTCTGGTATTTTAGGTGATACATCATATTCTTCATCGGGAAGTTCTGTTTTATGACCTTCATCATTCTTAGATGCTCCTTCCACAATGACAAGAAAGGACTTCCATGGGGTGTTTTTATCATGTATCTGAAAACAAAACAAAGTTGGAATGTACTAGGAGTGCCAGGCAGGCAAAAACTTGAACTCAGGTATGTGAAGAAAAGCTCTCCTTTCCCTCCCACATAAGAATCCCCAAACTGCTTTGGTATATGCATTAAGCTACTAACCAGTATCCCTGGTGGGTTTCCTTCCTCTCTTTTCCTAAAGAACCAAGATGACCTAGTTGACCCCTTTCTGGCCCAGAAAGCGGAAATCTTCCCCATTTTAACAGGAACAAACCTGTGACTGAATACTCCAGGGGGTGCCCTATGCCATAATGGATTAAGAACGTCTTTACTGTACATGCAGAACAGACACCCTTGCAATATTTTTATGCCAACATAGGGCAAGGAATCTGTGCTAAAACCAACAGGAACTGGAGAGGAAGCCCTCTTCCAGGCCTGTCAACTTCCTTGACAAGGAAGAAGGCTCTAGAGCTACTGGTTCTTACTGAAGTGTGTCGTCGCAGGGTGGACTTGTCAGTGAAGGTTCGCCCACAGGCGTTGCACATGAAGGGCTTCTCCCCRGTGTGTATCCGATGGTGACGCTGCAGCGCGTTGAGCTGCGTGAACTGCTTGCCACACTGATCACAGCAATACGGCCGTTCGCCTGCAAGCAGAGCTCAGCATTAAAGCAATCACACAGATAACAGGGAAAGTGTAACAAGGGAGCCTCAAGCAACGCCTACATTTCATTAAATAAGGCAAGCACAGTGTCTTCAGAAAGCAACAAGATGCTCTCAGAACTCTCGGTCAGGTATGTTTTGACACATTTAGAATAAACAGCTATTTACAGCTTAAGGGCTGGATCCACAGCCTGCATAAACCTTTGCAAATACTGAAGCCTTTGTATTTTTTTGTATATATTTTACGTCAGCAAGTGAACTGCTGTCTTGGCAAAGTAGAAATTGCTGTAGTGCTGAATAATGTTGACTTTGAAAGAGCAGACATAAACTAAAAGAGGAAGCAAAACTAAGGCTTCAGGAGGACTGAAATTTAGAGCTAGCACCATAAAGAAACCAGAGTTCTACTACTCTAAAAGGAAAAGGGTAAGAGGATGGTAAAATGGATATAAATGCCAAGGTTTCACATAGTGGAAGTGACTGTTCTCTCCTCCTTCCAACACTGACACAAAGCTTGCATGCTCCAGGTGGCACTACTTGGAAGTCAGTGTTATTGCACTATAATCACTGTTTTCGGTTCAAAAAAACAGAGCAGCAAGTAGGAATGAAACAGAGACTGAAAACTAAATCTAGGTGGGAGAGAAGACAAACATGAAAGGTGGACAAGCAGATAAAAAAAAAAAACAAAGAGAGAGATCAACTCTCTGTATCACTTTGCTCAGAGCTAAAACAAACATAGAGTTTTAGTTACTAATAATCCTCCAATTTCTTCTAACATAACTAGTAACATCTGCACAGACCTTGGAAATATTCCAAAGAACTGCTGTGAAGTCAACAAGAAATACAGGGAGCACCAATAAAAATACAGGAAATAATATACTGCATCAAGAATAGAAACCTTCACACAAAATAGGGGCTAAAGAAATAGAAAATCCTAGTTGAAAAATTCCTTGTCTGTGTTACAAAACAGAGATGTATGTCTGTAAATCCTGATGTCTTGCTTAAATAAATAAAGAAAAAGCCCCTACCTGTGTGAACTTTAATATGCTGGTAAAGTGAATTTCTCTGTGCAAATGTTCTGAAGCAAACTTCACATTTGAATGGTTTGGACCCAGTATGTATTCTGTTATGGTGTTTCAGGTACTCTTTGGAGGCAAAGCTCTTCCCACACGTTTCACACATAAAAGGCCTTTCCCCTGCAGCAAGGGCAAAGTGGAGAAGTCAAGGTAGCATTTGAGAATGCAATTAAACATAAGACACAAAAGCTGAAAGCTTTGGATACAAAGAAACCACAGGCCAACTTCAAAAAAGGATCTGAACGGAACACAGTGAGGAGGACCTCTGCATAACACACACAATTTTCGCACAATAAACTCGTACAAAATACTCATCCTACAAGAGTACCTATAACTATCTAAAAGGACAGCAAAATCTACATATTTTGAGCAAAAGCTCAGTGACATCTTTGAGTCTTCTCCGTATACTTGTACTATTCTGTCTCCCTCTCATCCTGAATACAATACTGCACTCCTTTGATGAAAGGCCTCCACCTGAAAAAAGCCAATTTTAGTTAAAAGGCTCTGGAGAAGTGTTCTTTAATTTAAAGTACTTTATTGTAACTTACTGTAAGTTTCCTGCTAGCTGCATTTAGTTACATGTCACAGGCATAACGTGGATGCTTCTACAGCAGTTCAATTAGAAATGCACAAGTACCACACATGACTGCTATGAATGGTCAACTCAAAACACCAATTTTGACTTCACTCCTCCTGAAGAGGGAGATGTGCTTTTAAAATAAATATTAGCAATCAGGATGAGCCAAAAATCTGTTAAGTACTTCTGGCTTACAGAGAAATTACTCTTCTGTCCGAATTTCAGCCAGAATTTCTACCAGCAATCTTATTTTTGAAAGTACTCAAACAGCTGTAAATTAAAGAGACTATAAATGTAATGATTGAAGATATTTTTTCACTGCACAGAGTAATGCTAAACAGGATTTTCTATAAAAATACATCTACCTCACAGTCTAGTAGGATATGGGTACTATGAATGATACTGCAGTTATTTCTCTGAAAATTAATTAATGTTTTTAAGGAAATACTAAGTAATTCTTGCAATTTTATTTAAAAAAAAAAAAGATTTTCTAAATCCTAAACATCATTTTACTACTTTTACTACTAAAAACTCTCAAAAGCATTTGGCTTCTGAAAAAAAAAAATCTGGTTTCACAGCAGGCTTCCTCCTATGCACAGTACATGGTAAAGGAAAGTCTTACCTGTGTGACATCTTTTGTGATATATAAGCATGTGATTCTGAGTAAACCTGGCACCACATTCATCACAGACAAAAGGTTTTTCACCAGTATGGATTCTGAAATAAGAAAGTTACAATAAAATACCAAGGAATTTGTCTCTTCTGCAGCACAACGCAGGTTACTTTGTGGCTGTTCTCTAAAAAGTGACTATKCATCTCCAGATTTTGTTTTCTTTCAAAAATAATTTCAACTAGGTCCACTTCTGCATCATGGTTTATGCAATGCTGAGTTTATTTTAATGTGCTGGATAATCGAGGCTTATATGCAGATTTTTTCAAAGACAAAAAAATAAAGGTTAGAAAACTTACATGTGTACAGAGGGATCGAAAGAAAAATTTTAACCATCTTAGGATCTGAAATGAAGCAACTACCTTTATATAGCTGATATTATCTATAAAATATTCCACATTCAGAATATGACTGATGTGTTGCCTGGCTAGACTACTACTGCATCACTTCTGCAGGGTCATCAAGTAAAAAACTATTCAGTGTCAGAAAATTTTTCTTATTTTACTGATATTTTTCTTACTTTCACCTCAAGCTTGAGGCTATACCTGCTAGGGAAGGCTGYGTGTACAAAAAGAACAGTTTCCTAAACTGTTGTCTGTACCAGTGTTTGTTTCCTCTTATCAAAAGTTTTCAACCTACGCAAACTTCAGGAATCTTTCACACAGTGTCACGGACACAGACAACCTACAGGCCAGCTTCATGGTAATATGTCAAAAAGAGGAGCTTAGACATAAAAATACGTATGAAAGATGAGAAATTCTCACCAAAAGCCGTCATGATATGCAAGTTAACAACATTGAATATCTCGCACTTAGGAAACAGGAGATATTCCCAGTGGTACCCAAGAGAAACTGTACCCTCACTTATGCCAGTAAATTATCTGTAGGAACCACAAAGCAGTTACTTAAGCTTAGAAAAGAACACTTGATGAAAAAGATTTTATACAGCTGCATCAGCAATAATACATGAACTCTCCAGCTGAGGTTTGCTTCTAGGCATGCTTTTTGCCACTGGGAGTAAATCCATCGACTTCAAAAGGRCTAGTGAGGTAAAGCAATGCTTAATGAACTCTCCGTACCTTACAGGAAATGCCTTCTAGGAATATGCTGACGCTGCTGCATTCTCTCTTTGGATCTGAGAAATAATAGCCTGAGATTTTGCCTCTATACCTCTCTCTACACTTACTGTATGTCTACAGTCCGAACTTCGTTTTCAAATCGCTGCTTTGGTAGCCAGTGCTGCTCAACACCTGGTGGGTCAAGCCCTGAATGAATCTTTGCCTTCATAAAAACATCTCTCCCACGAACTTCCAAGATCACGTCTTTGCACTTCCAACTTCAAGCCTCACAGGAGGCTCTCAAGTGCTACAATTGAATTCATCAGTTCTGCCGTGGCTACCATCTGTGCTTCCTTCGCCTTCACTAGACAGGCCTGTTTTGAGCCAAATTCCAGCTGTTTTCTATGCTTAGCATGCCACATCTGGTGTTCTCAGACTCAACACCACCAATTCTTTTCATAATATTTTCATACTTACTTCAATACATTTTTCTATTAAATTTAGAGATATCAGATGAGCCGAAATGACTGCAGGCCCGTTCCTACAAATCGCTCAGCACGGCAGCCCTTCTCATGTGAACAGTCCCACTGATTCTTAATAGGTCTGTTCCCATGAGAGGTTAGCTTTGCCATTTTACTGTATCAGTAGGACTGTGGCCCGTGCACCTTCACTTTGACTTAAGAGAGAAACACATCAACTCTCTTATCCTAAAAGGAGAAAAAGAAAGAAAGAAAAGCCACGATAAAGGTAATACTGAAACATTTCTGGTCAGTCATGTTTTACATCCCCACTTCACTGGAAGGCTCAAGACGTGTTCCAGGGGATTCTGCTTCTCCCCCCAGAATCTAACAAGTCCAGTTAAATCTGTTCATACCTCATGTGTGTTTTAAGTGCAGAAGGCTGAGAAAATTTAGCCTCACACTCTGTGCACCCATAAGGCTTGTCGCCTGTGTGCGTCCTTTCATGAAGCCTCAAGGCAGTTTTGGAGCTCAACCCCTTTCCACACTGTTGGCACTGATGACGCTCCCCACCACCCTCATGAACCTGGAGAATGTGCCTCTTGACGTCCTTCTTCCTCTTGAACTTCTTACCGCAGAGCTCACAAGGGAAGTGGCGCTCGCTGCTGTGGACATGGCGCTGATGGCTTTTTAAGTTGCACCGGTTGGCAAAGGTTTGGCTGCAGGTTTCGCACCGGTAAATGATTTCGGCTGCAATGCCATGGCTGTGTTTTATATGCTTGAGAAAACTTTTCTCGTATAGGAACTCCTTCTCACAGGTGCTGCACTTGAAGTTGCTGCCTCGTTTTTTTTTATCCTCCTCAGACTTTTGCAGGTTTTCCTCCAATTCAAAGTTGCCATCGCATTCTTCACTTTCTGGTTTAATGTTGTTCTCCACTTGCTCTTCCTCCCTCTCTGCATCACATGTGCTCTGCTCTTGTGAGTATCTGTTTTCTTCCACAGTAACCTCTGCATTCTTCTGCTGCTCTCTCAGTCGCCTGGTATATTTCTTCTTAGGGATTTCCACAAATACTTTCCTGCCAGCCAGCCTCCCACTTGCTCTCCTGATTTTGGCATAGGGAGGCTTCAKCATTTCCTTCTTCTTGTCCATTTTCTCTTTTGATTTGGCAGCTGGTATCTCCAGAGACACTCTATCAGTAGGCCTGCCTACTGGGGAGTCTGGAAGATCCAGAGGACAGTCTGCTCGGTCACCTTCTGCCACAGCAGTTGCTTTTGTCTCGAGCAAAATGCTTGGCTGGGAAGCACTCTCTTCCTCAGAGTTCTGTGATTCAGAGAAGTTTTGCAACTCCAGCAGCACCGATTCAAGCATCTGCTTCTTTAACTGGAAGCAGGTTTCTGAGAGGTCCAAGCACTTCAGCTTTTCAGCTATTTCCAGCATACGCTGCACTCTGTCTTCCTCCACTTCTACCTTAGCAGTATAGACAAACTCAAGGAATGAAGCAAAATCAGCAACCTGGACCTCGTTCAAGAACACATTGGTTCTTGGGCCATCCATGCTCTTCTCATTCAGAAACATCTCCTTAAAAAATTTGCTCGTTGCTGCCAATACAGCTTTGTGAGCAACAAATTCTGCCCTGACGCCTTGGTACTCCACACTAACTGTCACATCACAGAGATGGCCGAGGAGACGCAGCTGATGCATTTCGTTCAGAAGGTTGATAGGAGAGGACTTGGATTCCAGTAAAACTGCATTACTTTCCATCTTTCTTCTTTCTGCAAAAGAAACCTGTCAGCAACATCACACATTAGTAATTTGCYACAGAAGCTAACAAAATGCAAAGATTTTTAGCAGCCAAAAGTCACATCCAGAAGTCACTCCRTTTCATTCCATCCAAAAACATTCAAAATTGTTTCCCTAGACAGTTAGGCCCTTAAGATGTTTGAGCTTAACTGATCACACTCTCAAAGAAGCACTGAAAAAAAAGGGCCATCTAGAAACACAGAAAGATTTTCAGAAGTGTCACTCAGTGCAGTATTATTTAACAATGTGCTGTCAGTCATATGAGTAAGTTTCTTAGAAGTTAATTTGATTTTAAATCTCAACTGTAGTTTTAGCTAAGGCACTAGAGGGAGAGTATTAGATAGTGTCATAGAAATGAGGCAAATAGGAAGATAAAAGAAATGTTCTCACTAAGGCATACGGAATGAAGAAATTATTCTCTAATAAGATAAGAGAAAGGGAAGATAAAGGTAAACCGATAAGCCTAAATAAATGCTTTTTTAAATAGGCTTTTGAGATAAGCCTTTTAAATAAGACTTGGATAAAATTCTAAATGTTTCACCTGCAGAAAGATAGGAGACTTCCTAATTCTATTCTCAGATTGCAAACCTAAGAAATCTTAAGAAAACTAAACAAAAGACACTTTGGAGGAATCTTTTAATTCATCACTCTTAATGAATGAATAGTATCTAAGTTTTTGAATGTCCATTTCTATGCTACAAGGGCTTCATCATTTTCACTAGTGTTCAGGTTATGTTGTATTTACAAGTGATGTTTTAGTTTCTCCAAACTTGTCAAAACAAATCTCTTTCACAGCTAAAGGGTTTTTTTTCCCCCTCTTTTTTTTTTTTTTTCCAATTTCTTTTCTGCGTTTGATCTCACAATAAACGCTATTTCTGTTCTGTTCTCAAAATATAAACAATATTTTGGGGAAAGTCCAAGCAGCCCCCCCCTTTTTTTTTTTTTTGAAAATAATCATTTGTACTGTGTTCACAGGAATTACACTAATTTTGAATCCGACAAATTTCCTTCCCATTTCCAAAAGTCTCTTTTCTTTATTAAATCTCTCCTACAGAAGACTTGAAGTCTGTTACACAAGGTGCATTAAAAATCTTGTTTAGAAGATTAAAAAAAGTAGCATATAAATGGAACACCATTTATATTAAAATAACATTAAGGGAACAGTTCTAAGCACGAGAAAGATACGAAAATATTCACGGCATCAGAAACAACAGATGGATTATTTTTGCTCTGTCAAAATGATTATGGACTAAAACTTGAATTTATAGCAATGTTGAGTACCAGAGGAAAAAAACAATCTCACATCCTAATACAATTTTCTRTTAAAAATAATCTTGATACAAGTCCTATTATTTATGCTGTAAAATGGAGAGCTGCAAAATACCCTACTTCATGGCAATTACTAGTAATCAAACAAAACGTGTGCTGGATGAACTTCGTTCTACACTAGCCAAATAGCTACAGGGGGTCCCTGACCTAAAGAGCTTTAAAGAAGGACGGCAGATGAGCCACAATGTAAGAAAGGTAGGTTTTCCCAATGTTGCACAATGAACAATACTGAGACGGAACAGTAAACACAACCCTCTGCAGGCACCCAAACTACTACCTTAGATTCTGCAGGARAAGATTATCCTCAGCAAGAACTACCCTATTTCCTAACCTTTCATTTATTCTCTCCATAAGCTTTACGCTAGACTCAAGTAGGTGTGTTAACATATATATATAATACATATACAATCACACATGTGTGCATATATACATTTTACATATATATATATATATATATAAACGCTTATGGCGTTACACTTACCATACGTAAAATAAAAGTTTTAGGGAGGAGATGAAAAGTCCATTCACCTCTTGTCCATGCCAGCTCAGAGCACAACAAGCATCTCGGAATATTATCTGTTTTTGCAAATGAAACTCACTTCCCAGTTCTGACTGGAATTTCAAATGACCAGGAATGACATGACTTGACTCCTAACTGAAAAGCTGACACTTCTTAAGATGTAATRAAAGAAAAACACATCTGAACTTCATTTCCCTTTCTCTGTATTTACTCAGATGTTTTTCCTCCCAGTCAAATGTCACATTGGCACACATCTTTTAGCATGAATTAAACCGATTGATTCTTTCATAAAAGCATTTAAAATATCAGAACTCTTTCATCTGTTTTTTTTTTTTTTTTTTTTCCCATTACCATCACCTTAAACTGTTTGTCACGTTAGCTCATAATACCCATCTACTCTTTTACTTCAGCAAAGACAAAAGCTCAGGTCACATACAGACAACAGGGATCCCTGGTAGGAAACAAGAACCACAAACCACAAACTTCCTAATCGTGCTTAGCAGGCTATTAGTCTCGGAGGGTGACAACAGACAAGTGTTAACAGATGCACGATGCTGGTACATTTTTATTAACTGGAAAGCAGAAGCCTCCTACTCTTCCCACAGTGGTATTTCAAGCAGCAGAAACCATTGTAGAAACACATCACTTGCACAGTAGACTCGTTTTGGAATCTGTTCAAAGAAGAAACAGTAATTCAGCCCACCCAGTAAGATATTTATTGCACTGCAAAGGCCTTTTAACCCTAATTATCACAGTGGCAAGTGCACTACTGAGCCTGGCCCTGGACAGGCAGGATCCCACCACCAAACTGTATTTACTCACCCTAAGGAAAATAAAAAAGACACGGCCTGAAAACCTGCAAACTGGGCCTGCACGCGCGGAGGAGCCTGCAGAATCAGCGTTCACGTAGCAGCCATCCTTGCGCGCTGTCAGCGCTCATCGGCCGTGACGCGGCGCTCCCACCTCAGAGCACAACCCGCTGAGCAGACACCAATACACCACCAAGAACCASGTTTACGAGCCACGGCAGCGCCGCGCCGCGCCCGCTGCCACACACGAGGCCTCCTCCTGGGGCCGGCTCCCGCAGGCACCGGCTGTGGGACGGCGGCCGGCGCCCGCGCGGAGCCCCGCGCGCTGCAGGGAGCGCGGCCCCGCCGGGCTCCTCCCCGCGCCCAGGCCCGGGCCCCGCCGCGAGGACCCCCGCACTCACCGCAGCCCCGCGGGGGGCCGGACCGCGCCGGGTCGGGTCGGGTCGGGTCGGGCCGCGCCGCTCCTCACCACACGGGCAGCGGCCGGAAGCGCCGCCGCCGCAGCCCCGCCCCGCCCGCGGCCGTTGGGAGGCGAGCGCGCCGGCGTAGAGCGGCGCGGCGGAAGTGGCGCGCGGCAGCGGCGCGTTGCCGGGCAACGCGGCGCGGGGCGCTGCCGTTCCCCCGGCAGTGGCCGTTGCTCCCGCTGGGGACCCGGTCCCGAGCGGTTCCCGGCCGGGGGGCCTTGAAAAACGCGTGGCGTTTGGTGCAAGTTTGGGCCACACTGAAACAGGCGCCCTCGGCCTGCCCAGATCCTCACCGGGAATCAGGGGAATTGCGAATGCGCAAGTTTGGGATCGCTAAAAATACATCAGATATTAAAGACGTCATCAAACTCGTAAATTCTGTGTCTTGAGTTTATAAGACTCACTGATTTGCTAATTATTTATTATAAATGTAGATGTACTGTATGTCCATTACGTTTAAGAAATAATGATGAATATACACAGAAATTATGTTTAAAATCTACAGCGAAAGATCACCATATCAACTTAAGTGAACAGAAGGAACATCAACCACAACTATATTACCATTTAAGCATTTACCTTCTAGTTCACCATATAACATTCCACAGCAGCATTAATAAGTTTCACATTTATCAGGGAAAACACAGCCAAATAACAAGCATATAAACAGGGGGAATGAGTGGACGGTCATTTTATGTTATGAAAACATGGCTTTATTAAAAAAAAAAAAGTTAATTTGCAGCAATGGAACAATACATGTCTATCTATTGCACACATGCAAAAACAAAACATGCTTTCAGAAACAGGCATTTTATCATATGATGTATTCAAGATTTTGTAAAAATAAAATTATATACATATTCTAAAATCTTAACTGGCATAAATTCTTTTAAGAAGAATTATGAATCCTTTCTTTAACTACAATTATGAGCCCTTTCTTTAACTACAATGTACATAATTTCACACCAGACATAAATACATTATATCATTAGCTTAATGAGGCAGTTACAATAAGCAAAAATTTGAAATAGTTTAGTCTATTGTAATAGGAATGCAAACACGATACAAACATGGACTCTGTACAGTACTTTGGTGCAAATCTGATGTTATAAGTACAGAAGAGAATGATCAGTGTCTTGTGCATTATTGACACTAGAGGGCATGTGTTCTACCTTTTCAAGAATAATGCTTTCTGGTTTGTAAAGTTTACCTTGGTCAACTGACCAAATTTCAGGTGCTGAGTCTTCACCCATGCAGGCTTCTGATAATGTTTCTATTTTGGACCAATTATGGTCTTTTTTGGTTGTAAGATCTATTAAGAAACTTCTCCAGTGAGCATTCCTATCATGAATCTAGGAAAAAGGGGAAAAAAAAATTAGGGATGATTTTGAAGAGTCTTTTTCACAATTGAGGATTTTAGCATGCTAAAAAACTAATGGTGTTAATTTTAGCTCTCTGATACTGCGCTTGAATGTGCTAAACACAGGTACAAAAGCTGAACAAAACCAGATTTATTTTACTGACTCTGCCCTGATAGTCTGACTCTGTTGCCAGGAAGCACTTATAAAAGAAGCTAGATTTATAGTATCCTCATATATTTTTTTCTAATTACAAGTTTTTAAGTCTAAGTTCTCTCTTAGCAATCACTTCAAGAATCTAAATATCTCTGAATGCAATTAATCTTAGCAGTCCATTTTGTGGTGTAACTGAAAATATGTAAAATCATATTCATGTATGATACAAAGACACTGTAAACCATCATGTTATCTCCAATAAGAGGTTTAAATGACTGAAGAAATGCAAAACGTGTAGTCAGCATTTTACATAGCTAATGTCCTTCMTCATATGTTCTCATAAGATTAGATTTTCCTTCGAAGACAATGATGCAACTACTTTGGAAGTGATTGGTTTGACTGTAGGACAGTCTCTCTGCACACTTTAGAAATGTATTTTTACAAGCCATACATATCTAGGATAATCTCCCAACCCCAATATTCATTCTCCTATAATTTCCTTTTCATAAAGATCGAACCTAAGCACCAACTTAAGCCCTCAGTAAGCAAAGAAACTTCTTTCAGCTAGAGTAGCATGCCCCATATTTAAATGCATCTACACAGTTTGATTGCCCAAAAGACGTCAGAGGCTGCGTACCGAGACGTGTCTCCGCAAGGTGGACATATCTGTGAAGGTTCTCTCACAAGCCCTGCATTTGTACGGCCTTTCCCCGGTGTGAATACGCTGGTGCCGCCGCAGAGCGCCTTGCTGTGTGAATGTTTTCCCACACAGTTCACAGAAGTATGGACGGGTCTCTGAAAACAGAACAGGAATCTCAGGCTTTTCAGACAGGCTCTTTTGGCTCCTGACTTCAACAAACAAAAACAGCATACGGAACTCTTCAGAAGAAGTTGGAAAAGAGCAGCATTGGGATAAAGTGCTATACATAGGAAGATCAATGGGGCCTTGGTTTCTAAAGATTTGTGATCCAACTTTATATTATTTCTTCGTTGTGAAGGAAAGCGTGAACAGAGCTCCCTCCTCTTTCAGGGGAAATAGCATCAATTGCAAAGGCTGTTTCATCTTTCTCTGGCATCTTTCAAGAGCACAAAACTGGCCTCAGTCTTCTGGGCAAGTGTCATTTGACTCCTGCTCTGACATTATGTTTTTCTGCACTGACTGCAGCAAAGGAGAGAAACACAAGGGGTTTACAAGTCCCAAACTATTTTAGCCACACTTTGAAGGGAAGAAACATAAAATTGTTTGAAGAATCAGGGTGTTCTATTGGGATTCACACTAAGTCATCTTCTTCACTATACATTTGTTCCTGTTAACATGTATTCTCTACACTGTATCAAGAGACAATCCTCTTTGATGTATGAAAATATATTATATAAATATATATTTAGGCTATATAGGTTAACCTAATAGGCTATTTAGGTTAATAGGTTATATTTATATATATAACCTATATATAAACAAGGCTTTATGTGATACAAGGTGGCCTCAGGTCCTGATTTAGTAAGTCAGAGGCTGTATAAACCCTGCTTTTCCTCATCATCTAATTCCAGGAATTTACAAAGTGGTTCTGGAATAAAAAGTTAGCACCCAAGCTGTAAATGCAGCTTGGTTTAATATCCGAACTTTCAGTGCAGTTTACTCTCCATAACATGAATTTTTTAATTACCTGCATGAACATTACTGTGCTGGGCTAGGGAAGCTCTCAAACCAAATGTTTTCCCACAGACTTCACATTTGTATGGCTTAGCACCCATGTGGCATCGCTTGTGGCATTTTAAGTATTCATTAGTAGCAAAGTGTTTTCCACACACGTCACATCTGAAAAGACGTTCTCCTGAGTAGAAAGGAAAAGATATTTTTTTCATCAGTTTCTCCCAGTAACATTTTCCTGACCAAGTTTTAAAGGAGTCTTTCCTGCATGTTTATCTCCCTGTTTTTAACACATTCAACCATTCCTCTTCTCCACAATTATATASTTTATAAGCTTAGATTTTTTGAATTTCATATGACTTTGATTATCCCTTGATTCTGTTGTTAACCCTTTGTGCACCCTGCATCCCTTGCGACCTCCCTCATTCACCATTTAATTATTATTTCAGTGCACAGGACTCTTCAACTCCCCACACTATATWTCTATTCGATTTTGTACTTCAAATTTGCCTTTTAAATATCCTATTCCTAAGAGCTCATTCACTTCAAGTCACTCTTATTGAAAAAAAAAGATTGTTATCTTCAATTGCCCATTAGCTCTTTTCAGGTAGTAACAGGAACTGAGCTTGTTCTTTTTCTCTGTGAAAGTGTTCAATAGTATAAGATAGAAGAAAATGGTGTGTTTAATGCTTACCTGTATGAGTCCTTTTGTGGCTGGTGAGTTTGCCTCTATCAGCAAAGCAAGCCCCACAGTCCTCACAAATATATGGCTTTTCCCCTGTATGGGACCTAAATGAAGTGGAACACAAATGACTATTGATAAAATAGCTCTCATTTGCTGTTCTTAAAACACTGCATCTAAAGTACTGAAAGTGTATCTTACACATTACAGGCAGCATACTTAAAATATATTAAATGGAGGAGCTGCAAGAAAATAAGTGTTTTGCTCAGCTAAGAAACTGAGTGTTTACTGCTGTAAGTGTTATACTAAAGATTCCTGCRGACCCAGATCCCAGTGGGTAACTCGATATCCCAACTAAATAATTCCCCTTCACTAAAAAAGCAGGGGAAGTTTTAGCATGTAGCATTACTTAGAATTGAATATGTTAGTCTTCAAATGATGAGTCTTTCAAAGAAAGACAATATTTTCATTAAATTGTGCCAGAACACTGAGGAATGTGTCCTTTAAAGGGAACTCCTGAAGCCACTTTGYTTAAACATCTGCTTTTTTCCTGCATCCAAAAGGCTAAAAACACTGCCCCATCCTGGCAGTCAACTGAGGCCCGAATTCCACTTGTCTTCAATATCCTGGATAAAAATTAATTTTGAGATATTCACAAACATTTTTTGGCTTGCCTCTGAAAGAAAAATGAACCACTGAAGCATGGCAGGTATGCATTTGATGGATATTTCTGATGTCACCAAACAAAATCACAGGGTTTGTTCTCAACTGCCACAATCCAGCAGAGTTTCTTACAGTCAGCAGAGATGTCAGTGAATTTTGGTTACAGTCCTAAACTAGGTGACTGAACTTGGCTGTAATACAGGCTTTCAAAGTACTCAGTCTCATTTCCTGGTTTCCATTTAAGCCTCTGCTTTAGACCCATTTTCAAGGCTTGAAAACCCCAACTTTTCCTTCAAAGGTTGTAACTCATGGCATAAGCATTGGAGCAGTAAGTAGGAGAGATAACAAACTGCTGCTGTGTTAAGACAGAAAGCTCAACCAGATTGCCTCTGGCATGATGCCAGCAGCAGAGCTCTTGAGAGGCTCCAAGCCTTAATCTTAGCTTCTGTAAATCCCTTAGACCCTCCTCCTTGGGCCTACAATTTTTAACTAAAATGTTCCCATTTTTAAGACTACAGACACTACTGAAAGGCAACCAGTGTTTCAGAAGACACTGCACACATGCTGGATACCTGATTTTAAACAAGCTCAAAACAGGCAAAGTCTGAGGCAGGGATCCTAACATTTTATCTTAATGCCATTCTGACTTTCCATATTCTAACCCGGGTTGTATGATATGTAAAATAATGCATGATTCTGAGTTGGCTGGGCAAAATGTTGCAACTTGGAGACGACCTGTTACTGAACCCATCTGTCACTGCTTTGTTGGGGTTGTGCTAAATTTTCAGGTCATGTTTCACACTGTGGTTGCTTTTCACACCTTTGTTTTTCAGGTGACAGTAACTTGATACTTCAGATTTTTTACGACTAGAGAATCAACATATCTCACAAGTTTTTTTTTTTKTTTGTTTGTTTGTTTGAATCATTTTAAAACATCTAGAGAAAAGCTACTGTTCCCATTTTACAGACCCCATGAGTCTGCATATGATGGGATTTTTCTCACCTAATTTAGACTTCCAACAGTCAATATCCTAATATAAGCTCTCTGTAAGACTCCCTATTTAGGAAAAGATGGGAAATTTCATGGTGTAATTCACATTCTCCTGGGATATGCTGCATTTAGCATAGATACTGTCAGAGAATAATACATCCAATCTAGCTCCACTGATGGAAGAAGGAGCCCGGATGAGATGTCCAGCTTTTAAATAGAACAGGGGAAAGGAAATCCCACGCTCCATGACATCCTCAGAGTAATAAAGAAAGAGGAGGGCTCTAACCCTTGGTCCCCAATGTCCTGGGCTAATTCTTCAGACTATGCTGCTTTCCATCAATGAAGACTATCGTCTTATTTGGAAGTCTCAATTTCAAATGGGTGTTTTTTGCTTTCAAGTTTGGATGAAGAGTCCTTTTCAAAATTTCTACCAAAATGGATGTAGTGATCAGAGGCAGACAAAGCCTTTACACAGAAGAATTAATTATGGATATGACAGAACAAATTATATTGCAGGGTTCCTGTTAAAAGGACACCCAAGTAGAATGACTCACAATTGGGAAGTTAGAATAAGAGAAAAAATGTGCTGAAGTACATTATGCATGCAGGATGTAGCAATGGGAGAAACAGTACTTTAGGCTGACCTGGTATGGATCTTAAGCTGGGATGGCTGAGCAAATTTTGAATGGCAAATGCCACATTCGTAAGGTTTTTCTCCTGTATGTGTCCGCATGTGAAACACTAGCGCTGTTCGGGAACTGAGGATCTTCCCACAGACAGAACAGAGAGGGCGTTTGACTCTGCCTTCGTGCTTCCGCATATAATGTGTTCGCACATCTCTCTTTCTCTTAAAAGTAGCATTGCAAATGGTGCAGGCAAACTGCCTTTCTTCAGTGTGGACGCAGGCTCGGTGCTCTTTCCAGCTGTTGTAACTAGCAAATGACTTGCTGCAGATGTCACACCGATAAACTTTCCCAGGCAAACATTGATGGACATCTCTGCAATGATCCACATACTTTTTCCGGGAAACAAATTGCTCATTACATTTATCACATGTTATTACATAGGCAGATTTCTTATTCACCCCACTTTTAATTACCTTCTTTATTGTAAACTCTCCATCTGATTGACGTTCTTGAGTTTCCTTCTCATTACAATATTCATTCTCATCCTCCTCCTCAGTACAGACCTCCTCAAGGCCTCTACTGTCTTCAAATTCTGAACAATTTGCTTCACAACCTCCATCCTGCTCTCCCTTCACGCTCATTCCACCTTCATCTTCCTTCCCATCTACCTTCCTTTTTCCCCTTCTTGCTTCAGCTTCCTCACCTTTTCGCCTTCTCTCTTCTTCAGCATTGCCACAATCTGCTTGGGTGACAGATGAACCTGCAGGTTCTTCCTCACAACTGGAGGCCTCTCTATGCTTTACACACCTTCGTAGTCCAGCCTCCAGGGCCCTATCCCATATCTCTCTGGTAGGATCTTTCTCACAGTTTGTTGCAGTTGATCTTAATGCAGGTGGAACTACCATCCAATAGACTGGTAGAAGTTTCCTTTCTTGCCCAGATTCATGGATTTTTCTGTTAAAATAAATAACAAAGCACAACTTTAATAAGCTTGATTGTTTCATTTCATACCTGTGCATTTTGGAGGAAGAGATGTTTCTCTTTAATTGTTCCTCACACCACTTAGGGATTTAACAATGTGGCTGAAGAACCCAAGCATGACAAATCTGCAGAGTTGCCCTGAATAAAATTAAAAAAAAAAAAAAAAGTCTCAAGTAACTCATTTTGTGAAAACACTATTTTAAGAGCAGTTTTTTTTTTAATTTTCTTTTCTCTCCCTGGCATCAATGAACGTTACACTAGACATTTTCTGAAAAGAATGAAGATAAAATTTTAAGAACCCTGGGTTCAACAAGAATGGAAGCTCTCAGATATATTTCTTTGTCATCTCACCAGTAACATAGGACAGACTAAAAAAAATTACTCCAAGACCRCCGTAGAAAAGAAATTAAGGTCTTAAACCAAAAAAAATGTAGATTAAACATCTACATGAAAAAAAATACGGCAGAGCTCTTTATGAATAATATAGTTTGGTAGTTAACTGTGTTTTCCACCAGTCAGGATGTGGAACATGCAATGCAGAGGTTTAAAGAATAAGATAGACAAACATCTGCAGAARTAACAAAGCTGTCACCATCTTAGTGTATATGAATGCAGTGTATGACCTCTTACAAACCTCTCGTGGACTTAACTTCTGTGACTGCAGACTAACAGATGTATTCTTCCAAACACAGTTTTGTGAACTTTTACTATTATTATGTTATTATCAGGGACTTTTGATTATTTGGGGGGGCTCACCTGCCAGAAAGCAGCTCTTCAGAGAAGGATGTGGGAGCCTTGGTGGACCACAGTAAACGATGATCCAGCAATGTGTCCTTGTGGAGARAAAAGCTACGGGGTGGGTTGTATTAGGAAGAGCATTGCCTGTAGGCTGAGGGAGGTCATCCCTCCACACACCATTCAGCCCTGGTGAGGGCTGGTGAGGACACATCTGGAACAAGGTCCAGTGCTCCCCAGTACAAGAAAGATGGAGCTAAGAGAGCAAGTCCAGCAAAGTGCATCTAAGATGACCAGGGGACCAGAGTAGCTCTCCTATGAGGACTGGCAGAGCGAGTTGGGACTGGTCAGCATGGAGAGCAGAAGACAGAGAAGGATCTCCTCAATGTGTCTAAATMTAATAAGGTTTAAAGAGGATGGAGTCAGACTGTTGTTAGCAGTGCCCAGTCACAGTATGAGAGGCAAGAGGCACAAACTGAAACACAGGAAGCTCTACCTGTGAAAAAGCTTCTTTACTGTGTGGGCAACCAAATACTAGAACTGGCTGCCCAGAGGGCTTGTGGAATCTCCGCTCCTGAGCATCTCCAAAAGCCATGTAGACACARTCCTAGGCAATGTGCTCTCCATGACCCTGCTTGAGCAGGGAGGTTGGACTAGATGATCTCTGGAAGTCCCTTTCAACCTCAACCAGTCTGTGATCCTGGAATATCAATAAATAGTGTCAAAGTTGTACATAAGCACTTTGATCTTTAGTTACTCCTTAAACAAGCAATTCTGCTTGCCACTAAAACAGAGATTGTAAATTTTWAAAAGTTCTCAAACTAAGAGAAACACAGATTTAGACTAATAGGTCAAAGATGGGTCAAACAGTGAAGGGGTTTGTTTGTTTGCTTGTTGGTTTTTTAAATGGGTCAAAAGCTGCTTAACTACAGGCAAAGTTTTGGTTTCACTTGAGAAAAAGACAGATGTTTCTCTAATCAAGATGTTAAGGATTTTATTCCACCTCACATGATTTTCCCTGGAGGCATCGTGCTTTATGCTCCCTAGAAATACGGGTGCTTATGTACAGGACAAAACTGGCACTTCATTTCTTCATTATAAACATTAATACCTTGAGAATAATGCAAAAAGATGAGGAAATTCATCTGTGAAAAAATGCATGCTTGCTTGATGTTTAATTGAATTAGGTGCATCATCACCTGCCTACAAATTATGTTCAGTAACACTCAAGTCTGTCACTTCCCACATTTTTCCCCACATTTGAAGAGGCTAAAAGCTTCACCTTCAGTATGAAGAGTCCTAAAATCAGATACAACTATAAGAATAAGAAGGTCATTTTCTGGGGAATGAATCTTAAAGAAGATAGATAGAATGAGGGTAAGATCAAGGTCTATGGGGAAGAATGGAGGGATGAGAGAAGCACCATCTCAGGAAGGAGATGGTGCCTGCCTGATTTCCTATTTTTTCTCCAAGCTTATTTAGTACTGAGCTAGATCAACCTGTGGTCTCACCCTTTGCCATCATTTTTATATACTGATACTCCTGATCCATCCCCTGTCCTTTCCCCCATTCCTTCCCCCTTTTTTCATACTCTTCTTTTGTTCTCTTCACTGCAATGTCTTATGGCCTTCTGTATAATACAGTGGCTGCCAATCAAATAGTTAATGATGACATTTTTCTAAATATTAAAACCTCATTTAAAATAACAGGAAGARGTAAGTTCCCACTCTCAAACCCTGGCCTACAACTGAGGCAAAAAGACAGAGCTATATCCATTGCACTGAACACATACCTGGAAGATTTTTGGGGCTACTGAAATGAGCAAGCAATGATTTTTGCACATTTCTAAAAGAGAAGCTGGAATCCAGTAAGACACCATACGTCTCATACGTCTCTCTTGACATGTGCAGTAGCTTTTGCATCTCTGCAAACTACTGTGTAATTTCAACATCTCGCCTTCAGGCAAGCAGTGCTTGGTAAGCCTTTTTTTTTGCATGCTACCTAACAAAACATAATGCAGGATACTTAGCCCAGAAAAAAACCTACATGAAAGCACCAGTTGCATTTTCATTCACAAAAAGGGCATTTTCTTGTTCATATTAAACAGATGCCAATTCTTTTCAAGCTCCCATTTAAAAACCCAGATCTGAGGCTTTCAAAAAGTCACTGCCGAGATTCAGTTGCACAAGCCCTTTTTATTTCAATGGAAAATACACATCCAAATTCTGGACGCAGTTTGAAAAATCTCAATATAATATTCTAAGATGAAAGTTTGATGAAGTCAGTGGGGAAAAAAATATCTGTGTTGATTTCAACACACTTCTGAACAGGTCGAAGGGACTTCTGGAACTGAAGCAATCAAGACTTCAAAAAATGTATTTATCCCAGTGTCCAGAAACAAGCACAACAAACCAGAAGCACTCACACACATGCAGGGAATGCTGTACCTTACATGAGTATTGTAAGCAGACCTCTGGGCAAAGCGTGCAGGGCACTGGTCACACTTGTAAGGCTTCTCTCCTGTGTGTGTTCGCACATGGACCGTCAGGCCGCACTTGGAACCAATGACTTTGTCACAGTATGGGCAYGCCTGGGGATCCTGCCTCTTCCTGTGCGCTCTCCGCCTGTGATCCCTTATGTCTTTCCGTTGCTTAAAGCGCTTGCCACAGAACACGCAGGAGAGGAGCCTCTCGTCACCGTGGGCAGCGAGCTGGTGCTGCCTGAGGCCCTGGGGACTGAAGAGCTGCTCACATATGTTACACCTGTATTTCATAGCAAGGTTCATCTCATGCTTGAGCTCCATGTGTGACTGATACTGCTTGACGAAACAGAACGATTCATTGCACTTCTCACATGACATCTGTGGCAAGACCTTTGCTACGCTCCGCAGTGATTTCTTACACTCAGTTTTACTGGCAAGTTTGGAAATTAAACTGTTTTCATCTTCCCACTGCTCAGGAAGGGTGTTTGGAATCCCTATAAAGGCTTCTTTTGAGTCAGTCTGGCTGCAGAGAGAAGGACTAGCCTCATTTTCAAGCCTAGTGGTGTCCCCACTGGTTGTCTTTTTGGAAACTGTTTTGTGACATTTTGGGAACTTTGCAGTCTTTGGTTTTGACTGTGGGAAAGCAGTGCCTGCTTGCTCAAGACTCGCTGATCGGCCTTCAGGTTGTTCATAGCCAGCCAGCAACTTTGCATGTTTTTGCCTATGCCAGAGTTTCCTCTGCACGGGCACAGCCACAATCTGGGAAGAGTTACACAGTTTGCGCTTTTCCTCTTGCTGAAGGCAAGTCCACTGTGATCCACTACTTTCACAGAGCTGGCCTTTCASATGGAGGCTCAAATCCAAACCTTTTTTACCCTCTGCTTTCACTTCTTCACAAATATCAAGTAAATCCTTGCACTCAAGTCTTTCAGCTATTTCCTTCATCCGGTGCAATTTTTCTGCTTCAATTTCTACCTCTGCAGTGTAAATAAACTCCAGGAAGGAGGTGAATTCTTCTGTGTAAATGTCTTGTAGAGTCACTGTGCATTTTGTAGTGTCCAACATTTCATCATGCAGAAAAAGCCCCTTAAAATAGTTGCTRGAAGCTGCCAAGACAGCTTTATGAACCAGAAACTCCTCCTGAATACCTCGATGTTGTGTGTGAACTGTCACATCACAGAGGTGACCAAACCGGTACAGAGAATGCAGTGCCTGCAACAGGTTCGAAGCAGCAACCTTGGATTTCATTAGAATCTTCTTTTTCTCCATTCTGCCAGAAAAAAAACAGACAGATTATTATTAGTTTTTAAAATCTCCTCTCTCTTCCATGAGTTATCTTTTTGCAGAATCGCAGAATGTTCAAGGTAGGAAGGGACCTCTAGAGATCATCTAGTCCAAACCCCTGCTCCAGCAGGGATACCCAGAGCACGGGGCACAGGGTGGCGTCCAGGTTTTGGAGACCTCCAGAGAAGGAGCCTCCACAGCCTCCCTGGGCAGCCTGTTCCAGGGCTCTGTCACCCTCACAGTAAAGAAGTTCCTCCTCACCTGGAGATGGAACTTCCTGTGTTTCAGCTTATTACCCATTTTCATTCATATATGATATCAATCACTCATCTAAAAGGCCCAGTGGAGGTCGGTGCCCTAATTTCAAATTTAAACCATAGCAGAGGCTTCTATTAAAGTAGCTGCCTTCAGCAAGCCCACTTTATTACTGTCACAGATTTAGATTTACACACTAGGATAATCCTTCAAAGTGAATATTCTGTAGCCAAGCTCACAGCAGTAATGAAATGTAAAACAACTGGCCCATTTTAATAACAAAAAACTCTTCCTATAACGYCTATTCAACAGCAGAGATCACAAAAAATTAAAGAATGACAACAAGAAAAGCCCCCAAACCCACACATCTTTCACCACCTCTCATTGCACTGATCAAGAACCTGGAGCGTAGTACGTTGCTTCCTGTTGTTTTCAAGCTCATGTTGGGAACAGAACCTGTGTTTTCACAGTCCCACACCAAAGCTCTGCTCACTGCACTAGGCAGTCCCTCACACTAGAGCACACAGATAAATAGGATTCATTTTTATTTCTTTTCCTCCATGAAAACATTCATACATAGGGGTTAATATGAACTAGTGAGCTTCTATTGTATTTATCCACTTAAAGAAATGTACATATCATACAAGGACAAAGTCAAATTCTAGCTATTTCTAGATTTATTGAGGAGGTAATAGTATTTTATTTGAAAAAAAATCTTTTTTTTYCCCTCTCACTTTCTGTCAACAAATACAGGCCTCAAAAGTCTTCTAACATCCAAAATCAGTTGGTTTTACTCCATTATTGTTTTTAGTCCACTGTTGTTATCCATGAGTAAACAGCTACTTTAGTATACTTCTACCCTAAAGAAATTTATTAAGGCAGAATAGGTAACTGAGCTGAGAGAAAAGATAAATAGTGGGAGGGAGCTCTTGCTTCTTCAAGGCAGAATATTTTATATAAATCCAGTCAACGCATGCTACATCTCACCAGTAGAACCTTTGAACTAGTCACTGTTTGTTTTATTTATTTTATTGAGCTGAAGAGGCATAAGTTGCAGTGTCAAGGAGTTGGAGACAAGGGAACAGTGAAAGCTCAGACTCAAAATTGGAAATTTCCATTTTCAATGGAAGTAGCTGTAGAAGTCAGGGACAAATGGCACTTTTCTTAGGGGGATTAGATCTAGTACCTGACCTAGTCATCTTGATTCCCTATAGGTAAAGGGAAGGTTAAAAACCTCCCATGCTACATGGCATGTTCTGCTTTTCTTGGTGAGCTCTTCAGGGGAGTCCTCAAGACATCTCCATTGCACTGGCCAGTCAGTTGCTGCTTTCTGTTTTTTTTTTTTTTTTTTTTTTTTTTAAAGGTTAATTTGAACCTAAGTTCAAAGCAATTGTCTTAAATCATTCTGTTGTCAGGATGCAATTTCCAGAACATTTATCATTTATCTACTGCATTTTACACATCTAATGCAGAATGAATGGAATTAATGCTTGCACACCTTTGACTGAACTGCTGTTCTATATGAAGTCAGGCAATGGGGACTGTCACATGTAAACTGCATACATTTAATCAGATAAATTCCACCCTGCCTCCTAAATACACATGTAAAACAGAGACAGATGATACTTACTGCAGTGCAAAATTGTTTTTCACACCAATGAGCTGCTCACAGATATTCCTAATTAATACTTGAAGAATGAGCAGTGGAAACAGCCTCATTCTCCACAAGGGCTAGAGACCTTSAGGACAAGCAGCTGGGCTTGGAACTGACTTCAGTGAGACACAGATGACACTGAGCGCTTTAAAAGATACTGCACCTCCACTCCCCAACACCATACACACAGAGAAATAACACGCTAACTAGGATATAACACACCCATCCCAAGATTAACAAATATTTAACGTATTGCTCCATTCCTCATCTCATTGCTACAAAAAGCTATTTTAGTACAACCTAGGTCCCTGCTTTCCTGAGACAGGATGCAAGTTTTGGTGTGTTCTTCAGTTAAAAACCTATCGTTGCCATACCTACATACACCAACTGCGAAGGAATCAGAATTTGACCAAGACCTATGTATGGACAAAACCAGTACTCACTCCCTCGCAAGCCTTACATCCATTGGATTTTTATCCCCTAGCTTCATCCCCTGTTGCCTCACATCCTTTTCAGCACAAATTTCAGCACAAGCAATACAGCTATTTATCATGTGTAGTGGTGGCATGTATGATTTGGTATCCTAACTCTGCGAGCATATGCGTTACACAGGAGGAATGTAACACAGCGCCTGTGTTCTGCCAGCCTTCCACAGCATATGTATTTTGGTCTCTCTGGAGCTTCGAGCACACAGGATTTCACAACCCCCTTAGTACACTAAGAGGACTACAGAGGTCTGGGAGAACTCAAAAAACTATTGAGGCCTTCTGTTATTCAAACTTTACCTCCCTAGAGCAACACATTTACTCCTCATGCTAGAAAACTAAAAGTTCTCTATCCTAAGACAGATGATTTTAAGCCTGTGTCTCTCATGGCTAACATACATCTTGTCTATAATTAATCCAGTGCATGGAAAAAAWAWATATATATACACACACACCATCCACATGAAATTCATAGGTAGGAGACAATTTACTCAACAAGGGTTATCTTAATGGCAAAAGTTGGTCGACTTACTGTATGTTGTTTTTTCACCGTATCTTATTCCCACATAGGCTAAGTATATTAGCTCCAAATGAGCATATACTGCTAGATCACTGCGAAATAAAACTCTCCAGATGGAGCCTCAATTTATACCAGTGATCTATGGCCACTTATGTGAAAGTGGCCATTTATGCCACTCCACTTACGCAAAATCTTAAAGCAATAACTAAAAAGTGTAGATTTCTTCACTGYTCTTCATCTTATTGGGAGTTTGACCTTTTAATGTAGAGGTATCTTACTTACTATTTAATACTTTATCACATATGACACTGATAAACACAGAGAGAAGACCCTTTATCATTTATGTACATTGGGAGAAAATACAGAGAAATGACAATAGAAAATATCAGAAGAAGAAAATGCTGAAAAAAAGGAGTGAGAAAGCAAGGGAACAGGACAGAAAGTGACAGTTCTGAAGATTAACTCACATATTCTCATCTATATTCCCATCCTCTTCAATAATAAAAATAATACATCAATTATTTAGTGACTAAATTAGGAACAGATTGTGTTGTCTGTATTCATCTGCCACTAGCAACAGGGAGAGAGTCACTAAAGACTAGGAAGAGCAGGGAGTCCTAAATATATATACACCTACTCTATATACTGTAATTAGAAAGATAAGTAGTTCCCTCAAAGATGATACTCCTGATACAAAATAATATTTTAAATCTCTGTTATTTAGCATATATTTCTGACAGTTCTGTAATCTAGGGAAGAACATTAAGCCAAAATAAACAGCTGAAGCAGCGTGCTGTTTAAACTTGACTTACTGTACTTGATCCTCACAGTGATAATGGATTATAGAGAATTACACCAGACTATATTTTAATTTCTCACCTAAATTACAAATTTAACGTTACACTACAAACATTCCTCAGCACATATAAACTGTGTGAGTAGGAAGACAAATTTGTGTTGTATTGACTTTGTAGTATTCTAAATTGAAGACATAATATAGAATGAACAGGGTTGAAGAGCAAGCTTAAAATAGTTCTGAGACTACTAGCTGCAAGAGCAAGCACTACAAAAGACGATTATCTTTTAGTCTACAAGACATTATCAATTGATAACTTGTGACAATCACACTTGTTTTCTATGATCATGTCATGTACTGCTAATGAGGTCATCAGAAAAAWTTGAAAACCAAAAGTGTGTACAGTTTTAAAAACATTATTTGGAATGTCACGAGACATAAAATGTCTGTGAATTTGAGTTATGCAAAATCTTAAATATTCGTAATTTAACTCAGGGTCTGATCCAGAGTACTTTTTCCTATCAGATCCTGTGAGAAGTCCCACCCAAATCCATGGGACTGCTTAGGACCTCAGTCTTCCCACCCAATTGGTGGGGAACCTCCTTGCTYCCCATTCCTCACTACTGGAAAGTTCAAAGATACTTAATATAGAAAAAAAAAATAAAACAAAAGGTTAGCATAGTAGAAAACATTTAAGAAAAGCAGTAAAAGAATAAAAAGACATGTATTTAAATATCCCATGGAAGACAGAAATTGCTGGGGGGGGAAGGGTAATAAATATATATATATATAGAGAGAGAGAGAGAGAGAGAGAGACAGAGAGTTTAAATTGTCTAGATTCTACCAGATAAGGACCATTTATTTCCAAATTCTTGCAACTGTACAATAAATAACTCAAACACCTGATATATCCTTTAGTATAAGGACAATCTTTTCAATAAATGCATACACCATTTTTGGTTTTGCACCTCATTTTGGCTGGAATTTCTGCAAGCTGCTGTAGTCTGTGCATGTTACTTCACACTTAACCCTTCAGAAGCATCTACTGCTGCCAGGGGCAGCAGGTGACAGTTTGCATATGTCAGCAGTTATAAAAGAAAACAGCAAATTGACCACTTGGATCCAAGAGACYAAGCAGCACCTTCAAAACACTTGCAACTCAAAATCCAACAACTATTCCCCATTGAAGATGTAATAGATGCTACAGCACACTTGCAGACTTCAGGAAGAAATGCAGACCCAGAGGTAAATACTCTGGCTGTGTTCAGTACACAA